TTTATAGTGTAATTTACAGCAGATACAATGAGGACATTATCGCAAATGAAAAAGCGGTTTCCCAGTTGAGTTTACCCGCCGCCGATTCCACCGATTCCATCAAAATATTTACATACAAAACCAATCAAAAAATTTCATTTACTCGCTCTTCTTCTCCTCGTTTCCTCCGCTAAAAAAAAGCATTTTGATTTTCTCCCGATGCGTGGCCATGATTGGATCAACACCTGTCTTCCCGACGAGCTGATCTTGGAGATCTTTCGGCGGCTCCATTCCAAAGCCAGCCACGACGCCTGTTCCCTCGTCTGCAAACGGTGGCTCGGCCTTGATCGGCTTAGCCGCTCCACCCTCAGAATCGGCGCCTCCGGGAGCCCTGACCTTTTCATCAAGTTCCTCGCTCAACGATTCGTCAATGTTAAGGCCGTTCATATCGACGAGAGATTATCTATTTCTTTGCCTGTTAACACGGTAATCGAATCGCAGATTCTTCTAATTTTGGTTAATATTTAAAAAATAATTTAGGATTTCATGCACACTGAGATTAAATATCTTATTTACTTGTAATTGTTCACTGCGAATTTAACAATTGATCAAAATATGAATAAATAATTTATGTGAAATGATTATTTATTTGAATTAAAAAAAATGCTGTAAAAGAGACTATATGTTAGACTTGTTGACGAGGTAGCTTAAATTGTTCTTACACCAGGACCAGGGGAAAGGCGTGGCCGAGCTGATTTTAGTATTATTAAATTGGTTTATGTAAAAGGAAAATAATTTTCTTAATTTTTTCAAAAAGGAAAATTGTTGTAGAAGAGATCAAATGTTAGACAATGTAATGAGGTTTTTTAATTATGCTTGGTGCGGGGAAATGATGTGGCAGAACTGATTATAGCATAATTAAATTAAATTGATTTGTGTTAAAGGAAAAGCATTTGCTTGCTTCTTTCTAATATAAAAATTGCTGTAGAATCAACCAAGTGTTAGGCATGTTATTGAGGTAGTTTAATTTGTTCTAGATGCAGGGCAAAAGGCGTGGCAGAGCTGAGAACGTGCTTACATCTGTCAAGTTACACTATACAGCCCAAACAAGACCTGATAAAGAAGATGATTGCGAATCATTCTGTTTGACAGATTCCGGTTTGACCGCAGTTGCTGACGGGTTTTCTAAGCTAGAAAAGTTGAGCTTAATCTGGTGTTCTAATGTTACAAGTTTTGGTATAATGTCTCTTGGACAGAAATGCATTTTCTTAAAATCCTTGGATTTGCAGGTAATTCATTGTATGCTAGGGGAGGCTTTGGTAATATTTTACTTCTGTGTATCTCAATTCGATTGATTATGCCTTATTCTTTCAACAGACTAGTTCGAATACAAAGTGATCTACATGTTGTGCTCTTAATGTCTGTCCCTAGTCATTAATACTTAAAATGCATCACCATATCCATGAATTTCTATGTTACTTAGACACAAGTGGTAGTGTTGGAATGGTTGTGCACCCGACATGGATATGTTTAATTTTCTAAAAGTTTTTCCATGTATTTGGAGGCTCATATTTTCAAGCTCATGCTTGCATATATGCCAGGCATGGTACTTCAAGAAACAGAACTGAAGCAACATGATGAAACTTTACTTGTCATGTTATGTGAGTAATTCACTAGGCAAACTTAAGTTGCTTATGATGATTTTTTTTTTTGCAGGGTTGCTATGTTGGAGATCAAGGTCTAGCTGTTGTTGGCCAGTGTTGCAAGCAACTCGAGGACCTAAATTTGCGTTTCTGTGAAAGCTTGACTGATGCAGGATTGGTTGAGTTGGCAACCAAATGTGGGAAGTCGTTGAAATCTCTCGGTGTGGCTGCTTGTGCCAGAATAACTGACGAATCACTGGAAGCTGTGGGATTTCATTGCAAATCTCTTGAGACCTTGTCATTGGATTCAGAGTTTATTAATGATAAGGGGGTCCTTGCTATTGCACAAGGATGTCCTCTTTTGAAAGTCTTGAAGATACAATGTATTAACGTCACAGACAGCGCTTTGATGGTTGTGGGAGTTTCTTGTTTGTCATTGGAAATGCTGGCCTTACACAGTTTCCAGCAATTTACAGACGAGTTTGTCACTTTCTCTAGATTTCTTATGCATGATGTTTGAAATATCACTCTCATTGAATTGCATTGTTGAAGGCTATTTGGCCTATCAGTTTTATTACCTAATTCAATGGTCTTTGTTTTACAATGTTTCATATGGATGGCATGATTATTGAAGTATGACTTCCATTTGTGTCCCAGGGGTCTTCGTTCTATTGGCAAAGGGTGTAAGAAGCTAAAAAATCTTACTTTGAGTGATTGCAATTTCCTGGGTGATAGGGGTCTAGAGGCAATTGCCACCGGCTGCACTGAACTTACGCATCTTGAAGTTAATGGCTGCCACAATATTGGAACCATTGGACTGGAGTCTGTGGGGAAATCTTGCCCGTATGCTTATCTTTTATTGCTTTAGCTGTAGCTAGGTCCCATATCCAATCCCTATGATTGGGTGGCAGACTGTGCGTTCTTTCTTTTGAAAATTTTGAGTTATATCAATTCTGAAGTTCTTGACTTTGTGCAGGCGCCTGACTGAGTTGGCTTTATTATACTGCCAGAGGATTGGTAATTTCGCCCTTACTGAAGTTGGAAGGGGCTGTAAATACTTGCAAGCTCTTCACTTGGTAGATTGCTCAAGCCTAGGAGATGAAGCCATTTGCAGTATAGCCAGAGGTTGCCGAAATCTAAAGAAACTTCATATCAGGAGATGTTATGAGGTCTCTCTATATGTCTATTGGATATTATTCCTCTACTTGCAACCACTAGTACTAGACTTCACCAGGAAAATGACTGCATTTGTAGACTTGCCTCTTTTAAATGCTGGCAATCATTTATTTTTTAAATTTATGCAATTCCATATCAGATATAAAATCCTTAACTTGCATCACGCCAATAGGTTGGAAGCAAGGGAATCATAGCTGTTGGTGAGAACTGTCACTCTCTCACGGATCTTAGTCTCCGCTTTTGTGATAGGTCTGTCTCATTGTACTTTCCTTCCAGATTTATGTGGCAATTCTATTTGCCCATGCTGCTTCATGTTGTTAGCTGCGTTTCTAGATTTTTTTTTCTTTCTTTTTTTTTTGGTGTGAAATATGGTTTACACATACAGGCAATACATCTTAAGCTTTTTTGCCATTTTTCTATTAGGGTACGGGATGAGGCTCTTATTGCTGTCGGTCAAGGTTGCCCATTACAGTATCTTAATGTTAGTGGCTGCAACCAAATAGGTGATGTCGGAATTGTAGCCATTGCAAGAGGATGCCCTGAACTCGCATACCTCGATGTGAGTGTTCTCCAGGTGTTCCCTCACTCTCCCTCTCTTTGCTTCATTATGTAGATAAGCTTCTGTTCAACTTGATTGTTTACTTTTGTAATTTTGCTGCTGCTTCCAATACTTCTCCGAATTGCAGGGGAACTTCAACCCGAATGTTTTTTTTTTTATTTTATGTGCGATTCCGATCCATCACTTGCTTATCAAACCCTTTTTTGCTTATCAAACCCTTTTGATGTCAGAATTTAGGTGATATGGCACTGGCCGAGTTAGGAGAATGTTGCCCCTTACTCAAGGATGTAGTACTGTCCCATTGCCATCAAATAACCGACATCGGTGTTTCCCATCTGGTCAAAAATTGCCAAATGCTCAACTCATGCCACATGGTGTACTGCCCGAACATAACTGCCGCTGGAGTTGCCACCGTGGTTTCTAGTTGCCCAAACATAAAGAAGGTCCTGGTCGAGAAATGGAAGGTAAGTCCTAGGACCAAGAGAAGAGCCAGTGCAGTCCTTTCCTATCTCTGTGTGGACCTCTAATTACGACATCGAAGTTGGCATTCACCATACTGGTCTGGTCGCATCTCAAACAACGTAACATTAACTGAATATTTAAGGGTTTTTCTTACTTCGTATGTAGAAAGCCTTTTGTTGTATGAATTTTTCCAAAAATTGTGTAGTCCCTCCCATTGGGTTTCCCCTTTACATTTTGTTGAACCAAAGATAAACACAGCCTTTGAAGGCTTGCATTCACATAGTTTGAAATGGCACCGATTTGAAAATTTGAAAAGGTCGAATAAACATGAACTAAGTGATCACGGTAGTAAAAGAATTATTGTTATTCCTTGATATCCCGAGTTCGAGCACAAAAAATATTAGAGATGTGAGTTTTTAAAGTCAAATGGTTGAGAATTATTTTTGAGTAGATTTACTTTGTATTTATCTTATATTAATAATAATAGAAAAAATGGGTCGAATAAACTTCAAAGTCGCGTATTTTTTTCTTTTATTATGCTTTTTATTTTATAAAGGATTATTATTTTATACTCAATTTTTTTATAAATAGTGTTAAGATTATGATATGTGATTTTTTTATTATTAGATAATAATAAATAATAACCTTTATATTAATAAAAAAATAACCTTTATATTAATAAAAAAAATAACATTTATATAAATTGGTGTCTAAATTTGGTAATTTCTTTTAAATTGGTATATATTTTTCATTTTAAATTAGCATTTGAACTTGGGAGTTTTTTTAAAAAAATTAGTACATAGCTTGTTCAATATATGGATTATATTGAATTTTTTTAATGTTATATAAATATTTTACTCATTTTTATTATAAAATCTGACGTAATAATATTGATTTAATTTTTAATTTTGTTTTTAATATTTAAAAGTATATGAAAAATAAATATTTATTTTTAAAATAAGTATGTTATGTTAAAAATTTTAATAAAATATCTCAAATTACAAAAATAAATGTTAATAAAATAAATTATGCCACTGTGAGTAAAATAGAAACAATCCAAAAGTTTTGAATGATTAAATTGATTTATTTTAAATTTTAGCACTTAAAATGTAAAAAAAGAAAATAATTGAGTGATGATTTGTGTAGTTTACTCTTCCTAAAAATAAACCAACGCCTAGTAGCATATCTCGCTTTTTTCTCCGCACCATCGTTTTTTTGGCCTCTTTTATCATTTTCAGAATAACTGAAAAAAAAAAATCAAGGCCATGGCCGGCGATTGCAGCATCAGAGCACTATGGATCCTCAATAACCTTGACGCCGTTGTTTTCTCCAGGTCAGTCCATCACCAGAACTCGCTTTCCACTTCAAATCTCTCTTTTATATCAACGTTTGAGGGATTTGTTTTCTATTTGTTTTCAGCTTCATTTTGCTTTTCAGATTCGGTTTTCGAACCCGATTTCGATTCCTAAGAATGCTTCTGGCCGAAATAAATCTATTTTTTTTTAAAAATTGATTTGTTTTGATGTGTATGTTCAGGAGGTTTCCGGTGGTGGAGAAGCGGTGGCGGGCTGCTTGCCAAAGTGAAAATGAGAGCTCCCACAACGATCCTGTTAATTACACCGTGTTCTCTTCGCTTCCCTCTGATTCAGAGCTAGCTGCCGCGTTCTCTGATAGAAAGACAAGGTTAGCTAATTTTTCAACTATTTCTTTAAGAAACTTGTTAAGCACGTGAATATATCTTCCAGCACTCAGATTACTTTTAAGCTTAAATTGCATGTTATTATTACTGTTTATTACATCATACATAGTTTAGGGGTGTACTTGAGCTGGTCGAGTTTAATTTATAAAAGGTTTGAGCTTGATCCAGTTTCACTTTTAGCTCATTTGATTAGGCTCGTTTACCTAGTAAAATTGAGCTCCATTCTTATGCTCAACTTCTAGCTTGATTATTTTGTCAAAAAATCCAAGCTTGATTTCAAGTTCAAATTGAGAGTTTCGATACTAATTATAAGAAACTCGATTAATCTCACAAGCTACACAAGACAAGGATTAATGTACTGAAGTTCGGCTTGTTTGATAGCTCGAGCTCAATTCGGTGATGATGATAATGATGATTTGAATTTGAGGGGTTTGTTTTTTCCTGGTCAGATGTTTATAGCCCGCGACCACAAGTTTCTTGTCATCTCTAGTCTGTGTACAAAACTTACTGTGAAATTAACTAATTACTTAAATCATTATTGTTAAGGCTCCATTATTTTTATTACTTCACTACAAACATTCTTCTTTTGGTAACAAAAAGTAAAACATGTTTGGATTTTAAAACGAAGGATATTATAGAAGTGACAAATGAATGTAGCTACGTTTAACTCTGCTTTAATGATGTTAACTGTTTTGCTTTTCAGTTTATTTCAACTATGGTCTTTGTTTTTTGTTTGTTTTTCTTTTTTTTTTCTTTTACAGGGAGGGGTCTGTTCGTGGATTTGGTATACGTGTATCCCAGTCAAAAGAAGGATCAGATTCATGGGTTGATGACTCAATTACGCGTCATCTTGTAGGCTTTTACATAAACAGAGAGGAGGAAGGAGAGAAGAATCTTATCTGGCCTTTAGCGTTGCACATCAAGGGTCCTTATTACATTCTTATACTACCCTTAGTCGAGCCCAGGCATGTGAAGGCTTATGCAAGGTTATGTAAGAGATCTGATTGTGGAAATGCTGTCATGGCAGATGAAAATTTGTCTTCTTTGCTTCTTGACCTTCCATCAATCACAGGGTATGGTAAGTTACTTGCAATATTATTCAATAAACCTAGTGCTCTATTCATGGTCATTTGCTATATTTTTTAGCTTTTTACCACTCTATCAGCTTAGACAGATCAGTGTATGAATGTCAAATCATTCTGTCTTGATGTCGGTTTTTTCAGTGACATTTCTTATATGGAATAGAAAGCCGTGAAAATTTTCACATTATAATTTTTTTCTGCTGTTAATGTTACTAAAGCCAGTGCTCAGTTTGGGTTGTGCTTTGAGTTCATTATACAGCTGTTTCATACTTATGAAAAGAAATAGTATAGTTTTTTTCCCTCTTAATTCAGTTTTTAAAATGCTTAATTATCTTTCAGTGCATTTCACCATTTTGCATCCTATTCCTTACTAGGGAAAAGGGAGGTGGTCTAATGTTTTAGTGCTTTCTTTTCTCTGCTGTAGAGCATTCATGGTGGCTCATGCCATTGGTGACATAGTTACTGGGGATGTAGCAGAGCCTGAGGTGGTTGTAAGTCAATCTCCTTCAGTTGGCGGGTTGTTAGACTCACTTACTGGAAGTATTGGGATATCGGGAATCTCAAGAGCAAAACCTGTAGCCGCATCTGTTGCATCTTCTGCACCATCTGGCTCTACTGCAATTGGAGCTCTTGCACCTGATGTTCCAAAAACTGGTTCAAGGCTGCTGGATAAAGATGCGCTTAGAACTTTCATATGTAGCGCAATGCCCTTTGGTTGGTACTTTTTCAATATGGTATTTTCTCATGACAGATGATGTTATATATTTCTTGTGGATTCTTTGCTTGACACCATTTAATATTAATACAGGAACGCCCTTGGATCTCAGCTATTCCAACATATTCTCAATCAAGGCTAATGGCTTTTCTTCATTGGATATCCCTCCACAAGACCTCAAGCAACCAGCATGGAAGCCCTATCTGTACAGAGGAAAGCAGAGACTACTATTTACCATTCATGAAACTCTTCATGCTGCCATGTATGATCGAGATGAGATTCCGGATAGTTTATCAGTCTCTGGGCAAATAAACTGTCGAGCAGAATTGGAAGGACTGCCTGATGTGTCATTTCCCTTGATAGGAGTGAGCACATCTAAGATTGACACTTTATCATTCCATCCTTGTGCTCAGGTTCCAGAACAAAATGTGGATAAGACGGCTCTGATGTTCTCACCACCTCTGGGTAATTTTGTTTTGATGCGATATCAAGCAACATGCGGCCTTCACCCTCCTATAAAGGGATTCTATCAATTGTCTATGGTATCCGAGGATGAAGGTGCATTTTTGTTCAAGTTGCACCTAATGGAAGGATATAAGTCTCCTTTGACAATGGAGTTCTGTAATGTGACCATGCCATTTCCAAGACGAAGGATTTTATCTTTAGATGGGACTCCATCGATTGGAACAGTTTCAAATGCAGAGCATTCTGTTGAATGGAAAATTATCACAAGTGGACGAGGGCTTTCTGGGAAAAGTATTGAGGCAACATTTCCTGGAACTGTTAGGTTTGCTCCATGGCAGACACAAAGGTCAACTTCCTTTAGTTCAGTTCTTGATGGCACAACGGATGATGATAGTGATAATGAGACAGAGAATGCTAATAATATGGTAAACATAGAGGAGTTCTTAGAGGAAAAGATGAATAAGGATCTTCCCCCGGTTGATCTAGAGGAGCCATTCAGCTGGCTTGCATACAACTATGCCAAAGTATAATCTTTTATCTCTACCTGTTTTGCCATTTTTAACTTTTCAGAATTGCCTAAAGTTTATACAGGCAATCCATGGCCCTAATTCTTGTTTATTGTTAAAGGTATCGTTCAAGATTGTCGGGGCATCATTATCTGGAATTTCTATTGAGCCCAAATCAGTACGTCTTACATTCCTCCAACTCGCCTTCCATGTTTAACTTCAGTTAATATCATACATAATTGAACAACTAACAGGAACATCAATGAAGATTGTTATTGTTATACTAATGTTACTTTCTTATTGTTCGTATTGCACCATGTAGGTAAGCATCTATCCCACTGTAAAAGCGCCAGTGGAATTATCATCTCAGGTAAGGTTTTCTCAGAACCTATCAAGTTTCGATAGATTTAGCTTTCACTTGCCTTCTGAAATGACGATCACAAATTTATGTTGCGGATCCTCTTGTAATTTAAGGGAACGTACATTTTTAGATTGATGCTCTTGTTTCGTTACACTTCTGGTTTTCAACACAGGTCACTTCTGGAGACTATATCTTGTGGAATACATTAGGGAAGTGCCCATCTGCTGTAAATGCAAAAGTGTAACAGAGGGAGATTTTTCAATGGAGGATGTCAAGCTTCTATGGATAAACCGGTTGATATGGTATGGATAAATGCTTTTATTTTGGATTCGGGTCTTTTGAGTTCAAATCATGTCGGATTCAAGTTGTTTCATATTTGGACGTTTTGAACTCGAGATCTCTGATTGGATCTTTTAGAATTCGGACCGAGTTAGCATTTTTTACTCCTTAAACCTTGGGCTTGTGGGATCAAATCATCTTATATTTTTGAAATTACATATTATCTAATAATTTGGCTGTAGATGCACTATGTCAACTACTATGTCAACATATACAGAATTAGAATCTGTTTCATCTTTGAAAATCTTAGGTTGATGTAGATGAACTTTCTTAATTCACTACGGAATATTTAATGGAGAATACTTGGTGGAAGAGTATGTTGATTTTTTTTTGATTAATTTAGGGTAAGTACAAGATAGTATATGTTCAAAGATAACTCTCAACCATATGACTTTGAATGCTAACTCTCCTGACACTCATGGTACTCGAATTTGAGACTTCAAAGAATAACAACAATTTATTTATCACTGAGGTTGCTTGGTCATACAATATGTTTAAGTTAAATGTATGGGGATAGGATAATGCTACCACGCTCGATGAGCACGGATGAACACCGTGATGAGCACCATTAAATTAATTTATAAAACGTTAAATTATAAAATACCAAACGTATAATTACAAATGATGATGTTATTACGCTCAACGAGGACATATAAGCACTGTTATAGATGAGCATCATTAAATTAATTTATAAAATATTAAATAATAAAATACTAAACGTATAATTATTAATTAGTTTAAAATCTAAATGTAATTTAGTTAAAATATAATATTTATAAAATGTTAGTTTTTAGGAAAATTATATTATTGGCCACCTAACTATTTACTATTTTTACTTTAATCATTGATTTTTTAATTTTGTCAATCGGGTCACCAATTGAATGAATGAAAAATAAATTATATTAATAACCGTTATATGTAGGGTTTGAACATGAGACGCAAGCCGAAAAATTAAGCATCCTAACCACTAAGCTAGACCACTAAATTCATCTAATATACAAAACATAATCTATATAATTTATGATATAATTAATGGTAATAAATGACCTTATAAGGACTCAAACATGAAATAATTAAATAATATGAAAATATAAAATATATATAAACAAATATTATAATTGATTAATAAATGAATATGTTTTATTTATATTTTAAATCACTTTTAATGCAAAAATTAAAATAAAATTGAATTTAATATTTTATGATTGAAATGTATCTTTTTACATATTTTAAATTAATAAACTGTATTCATTATTCTAATTTTATTGAATTGAAATGTATCATATCTTATATTTTAAAATATTATAACATTGATCGGATTCTAATATTATTTAACAACTCTATGTAAATATAGACTAATTCAATAAAATCAAGTTTCTCCTAAATTTTTCTTCAAATATATAATGAATAAATAATAAAGTATAAAATTCTTATTATAACCGGAGTATAAACAAGTCAATGCATAAATTAAAATGATTACTATGATAAGCTTTCAACTATCATGAAAATTCTAAGTCAATGAAGCTCTTCATTATATTTCAATCATAATATATTAAAATTATTAATTTTATTTTTCATTAAAATAATTTAAAATATAAATAAAATACATTCACATATTAATCAGTTATAATATTTGTGTGTATATATATATCATATTATCGTATTATTCAATTATTCCATGTTGGAGCTCTTATCAGATCGTTTTTCCTTTTTTTATTGTCATTAATTATATATTATGTAGCAATTATTGATTCAATTTATTTTCTATTCATTCAATTGGTGACACATGACACCATTTGATTGGATGAAAAATTTATTAAATTAAATAAAAATATTAAGAAAAAACATGCAATCATATAATGACACCTGTCACCATCTGATTGAAGATTAAATTTATTAAATTAATTAAAAGTTAGGACCAAATTAATATAATGTGTAAATAATAAGGACTAAATGTGTAATTATAAAATTTTTATTAACTAACACATCATCTTCTCCATTAATATTTAACGGCGGATGGGTTGATTGACAAAATTTAAATAGTTAAGTGAATGACATTCGATGATTGAAGAAATCTTAAACAGATTGAAGACAGATCTATGAAAAAAGACATCTGATGAATGAAGAAATTTGAAACTGATTGAAGTCCGATCCATGAAGAAAGAAGTCCAATGAAGGAAGAAATTTGAAGCTGAGTGAAGACTTCCTTTAAAGGTGCAAAGGCCAAGATGTTGACTCAAAAGATAGATACAGTCATACCAATGATGAGAAGATCTTTCACAAGGACATGAAAACCAATTCACATTAGAGGTAAGAATAGAGATTTCAAGATTCAATTTAAGGACATCCGATGTCATCAAAGGTGATAAAATACTCCGACAATTTTGGAAGTGCAATGATAGATTCCATGAAGAGTACGACTCAAAGAAATGAAGAGATGAAGAATCACAATTATATTTTGACTACATGGTGTACTTACTGAATTCTTGTCGTCTAAATGAAGGTTGTTCTATAAGTGGTCACTTTCGGAGTTAACACCTCGTGCATTTGCATTTGCATTTGCATTTGCATTCTTATTTTTGCATTGGCTTATTTATTTTGCTATTGTTGCTTTTTATCATTTTGTTATCCTATTTGTACTACCTTGTTTTTTATGTGGGTTTTTTTCTTTACATTGCATGATCATGACATAATCAAAAGGTGTTAATTTGTGAGTGGTCAGCATAGTAGAAGGCTTTCATGATGGACAAGGGGTTTCGTGATCAAGTAGACTATAACACAGCTGAGAAATGGCATCCTAAGAAAGCGTCGAGAATAATGGAGAGATCTGCGCCTAAAGATCGCATGGTTGAGGAAGAGCAAAAGGAAATAAGAGAGATAAAAGAGCAGATGTCCAGGATGATGGATAGGATAGATGTTTTGTCCAAAGGAAGTGGGACTTCTACATCAGAAAAGAATGAGCTCGACGAAAGTAACCATGAGGTGTCAAATACACAAGGGACTACTTTAGAACTTGCTGATTCTAGCCAATATGAGAAGCCACACACAGTCACCATTCGTATCAACAAGTTGTCTGGAGATCCCAAGGAAATGGTGACAACTGTAGAAGTCCAAAAGAATGAAAATAAACCATGCAATCAAAACTCGTGGACATTTGAGAGTATACTTACATCGTTAGGAGAAATAAACCTGAAGACTCCAGTTCCATCTAAGCCGAGAGGTGGCTCTCATTTTGATTCTATCCCTATATCATATAAGAAGTTGTATGATAAGCTTTTACAAGCCCGGGAGGTGTCCTTGCAGTATGTGAAGCCTTTACAACCTCCATATCCGGAGTGGTATGATGCCAATGTCAATTGTCAAACATATGGTCGAGGCGAATTAATTGCTTACTAGAGCATGGAGTATTGGAATTTGAGAATGAGGGTCAACCAGGTTCAATAGTCAAACATATGGTCGAGGCGAAACTGAGTGAGTCTAAGGAAAAAAGCATCAGTAAGGGTATCCAAAACGAAGAGCATATATTGAAATATGAAGATCAAATACTTCAATTACAAAACGAAAAGGACATTCTGAACAGAGAATTGGAAGCCATGCAAGATGGTTTTCAAAGAATCAATCAAACCTTTCAAAGTGTTGGGTTAGGTAATACTCCAGAAGAATGGGAAAAAGAAGCCTCTAAATTGAAGAGTGGTATCGAACAATGGAAAAGAAATTGTAAAATGCATGAAGAACGAGCTAAGAGGTGCTATCGTGATCTGCAGATTGCGGAAAATGAACGTAAAAAAGCCTTACATGAGTTAGGGATATGGCAAACAAAGAATGAAATGTTGAGAACAACCCTTACCAATGCAGAAGCCTGGTTTCAAAACCATAATCGTAAGAAAGATATTGAACTCGAAACAAGTAGAGCCGATAATAAAACAATGACAGAGTTAGTACATGATTATAAAAATCTTGCACGAGAACTTTATGACCACACTGAGTCTCTTACTAGAGAGAATGATCAATATTGCTTACAACATCGAGTTTCTTTGGGTTCAACTAAAATTATGGTCAATTTATGTTCAATTAGGTTTATTTCGAGTTTCATATCAATTTTGGATCATCATATTTAAATTTATATCGGGTCTTGAATCAAATAATCAAGTACAAATCAAATTTTCCATGTCTATATAATATACGCTAAAGAGTAAAGACAACACTATAAACTGAACAAGATAAATTTATTTATATAGAATAAATCAAATTTTATCTCTATAGAACTTTACTCAAAAAATAAATATTAAGATAGACCTAAAATCTAAACTCGACGAATTCTGACTCTATTTGATTCGACACTATAAAATCAACTATTTTTCTAAAAATTGATATTCAAATCATATTAAATTTAAGATAAAAATATTCAACCTGACTCAAAAGAGTAATATATTAATCTCTTATATATTTAGAGATAATTATAATAATATTATTATCTATATATATTTTTAATTAAGTCCCTATATTCATATCGGATCAGGAGAAATTTTAACTCAAAATCGGGTCATGTTTTGAATTTAATAGAACTTCCCCAAACCTGATCAAATCGGGCGACGAATAAAAGGATAGAATACCCGAATCAAGTTAGAGTCGACCAAAAACCTAACTCGATCTGACTCATGCTCATCCTAAGAATAATCAATCGCAAATCAAAACAAAACATTTTAAACTCAAGCTCAGTTTAAATTAATTGTAGCTACATCCCCATGAAAAATTCTACAACGCTCATCGACCGTGGATGACCACTATTAACGATTAGCACCATTAAATAAATTTATAAAACATTAAATTATAAAGTGTTAAACGTATAATTATAAATTATTTAAAAATCTAAATGTAATTTAATTAAAATACAGTATTTATAAAAACATTAATTTTTTAGGATAAATTATATCGTTGACCACCTAACTATGTACCCCTTTTACTTTAATCATGAATTTTCAATTTTGTCAATCGGGTCACCTAACTATTTAAATCTTGCCAATCAAGCCCTCTGTCATTAAATATTAATGGAGAAGATGACGTGGCAGTTAATAAAATTTTTATAATTACACATTTAGTCCTCATTACTTACA